AAAATAAATAATTAAAAAAAAAAAAAACAGGGACACCTGGGTGGCTCAGGTTGTGATCCCAGGGTCCTGGGATCGAGTCCCACATCAGGCTCCCTTTGAGAGGCTTCTCCCTCTGCTTATGTCTCTGCCTCTTTCTCTCTCTGTGTCTCTCATGAATAAATAATAAAATCCTAAATAATAATAACCAAAGAGAGATAGGAAAAATGCCAGGAGTGTGTGTTGCCCTGGAAACCAAGTGACAAAGGTGTTTCAAGGAGGAGGAATAAAGCCTAAGAAATGACCATCAATTTTAGCAACTTGGGGGTCATGAGTAACACTGAGTGGTCTCCAGAGTAGGGTGCACATTCCCTAAGAATTGCGCAAGATGATTCACTGATGAGGGAAGGCAATGTTAGAATTTCCATTTATATTTATTTGTCCTATCTTTTTCATTTCTATGATTATATGTATTTAAAATGTCTGTATTAGTAGTACATGTATTTAATTTGTAAATGTATTAAAAGTAGTGCTCAAAAATATTTATTGATAAAGCCAATCAAAAAGTTTTTTTTTGTTTAAAGATTTTATTTATTCATGACAGACAGACAGAGAGAGGTAGAGATGCAGGCAGAGGGAGAAGCAGGGTCCATGCAGGGAGCCTGATGTGGGACTCGATCCCGGGACACCAGGATCACACCCTGGGCCAAAGGCAGGCGCTAAACTGCTGAGCCACTGGGGCTGTCCCTCAAAAGGTATTTAGACCAATACCCTAAAGTATCAAGGTCTTTCCTGCTTCAAGACCTTCTCTCCTACACATCCCGACCATTAGAACCTCCCCTCTACTTTCCTCTAACAGTCAGATTTCAGGGAGAGCCTTACAAGTCTTCCCTGACCCCCAGACTAGGGGCCCACCCCCTTACTTTATGCCTGCATTGCCTCCCACACCCTTAACCTGTAAGCCAGAGACCTTCCACCTTCCTCTCCAGATCCACTCTCCACCCCTCATTCTGCTCTCTGCCCCAGGCTACAACCAGTCTCCTTAGTTCTTTGGGTTCCGGTTGGCTTTGGTCTTGCAGAGGATCAGAGGAAGGAGCAGAAGGACCTGCTATCTGTTCTCCCAGCTTCTCGCTGTAAGGTTGGCTCAGCCTGGCTATGTGTCTGGAAGGAAGGTCTCAGCTCCTCTCACGGCAAATTTCTCTACACAATATTCTGTGTTCTAAGGTCTCTTTTCTTCCCTTGCCCCTTTGCTCCCATAGACATGTTTTGCTTGGTCCGATCTAGGTTTAAAATTTTGAATTTGTTGCTGACACTTAGTGATTGGAACATTTGCATAAATTCAGATGTCTGGCTTCTCTTGAAAAAATCAGATTTGACAACACCGGAGTTGTTTGCCCTAGGGCATGCACTCCTCAGACTCCATAGTCCCCACTACTCCCTATTGCCTTGCAGTAAGCTTGCTGCCCTCAGACTCTTCACTAGATTTGGAGAAAGGGGAGGGTTACTTTCAAATGTGTCTACACTTTCTCTCTCTCTGCCAGCACCAAGAGGGTCCTCAATCTGGGATTGCCATAGTCCCCTCCTTACCCACCCACCTGCTCGCAGGCCCATCCTTCTATCAATTTCTCACAGTGCAGCCAGAGTACTCACTCTGGCACAGAAATCAGAGATCACACTCTCCCTTAAAACCATCTTCCGCTGTCCTACAGATAAAGGCTGCATTTCTTAAAACAGTCTCCAAGGCCCTGGGTTTTCCGACCCTGCCTACAACCCCAGGCTGGTGTGGACCCACTCCCCTAAGTCTCTGTGTCAGCACAGTGGGCCCCTCTCAAGTCCGCAGACACACACCCACACGGTCCCTCGCCCAGGCCCAACGCTCATGCCGCTCCCACAGCCACATGCTGGGCCTCCCTCCTCCACCTCTTGTTCACAGTGTCCTTTCCCGGGGAGGCCTCTCTGTTCTATCTGTACTCCTCCTTCACAGTGCTACACTCGTCATCTGGGCTTTTTTCAAAGTCTTTGTCCCTCGCTGGACTGTAGGAACGGTGTCTTCTTCATTGCCTGGTGCGTAGTAGGTACTCGCTTATACTCACTGAACATTTGTTGAAAGAGTGGATGTGGAGACCTAGCTCTTCATGGAAGAGCAGTTCCTGCCACTCAGCAACAGTTCAGAATACTGGGCTTTTTTCTGTTTTTCATAAAGATTTTATTTATTCATTCATGAGAGACACAGAGAGAGAGGCAGAGATACAGGCAGAGGGAGAAGCAGGCTCCCTGTGGGGAACCCGATGTGGGACTCAATCCCAGGACCCTGGGATCATGACCTGAGCCAAAGGCAGATGCTCAACCACTAAGGCACCCAGATGCCCCAATACCAAGGCTTTTAAAAATGTTTCCTGTGATTACCCATTTATGTTACCATGCACGGCAACAATCTGATTGAATGCAGAGTGGAGGAAGCAGGTCGGGAGGAGTGAGACCCCAGAGTCCCCAGGGCACAGGGTTTAAGGAAGCTCATCCCCTCGCAGCCCCTCTCCTGCCTTTCTTGGGTCCAGGCCCTGGGAGGGCAGCCTTGCCAGGAACCACCCAAACAGAAGAAAAATGAAATAAGACAAGGACTATGCTCCAGCGAGGTCTGTGCTCCAGGGAGGTTTGTGACAGCAGCCTGACCGCACCACGACCTGGTTATCGGGGGCCTGCAATGTGGGCAACAGTGAACGGCAGAGGGGACATGCGTCCTCACGGAACCTCCCAGAACCTCCCAGAAGTCTGGGTCGGCTCGGGTGGGGGAACAGCAGCCAGCCCTCCCGCAGGCAGTCTGCTCCATTAAGGGATGGAGCTCTTTATTCTCACCCTTAAAAGAGCAGCTCACCTAGCAGGCTGCCCAGACCCGAAGTTTCTATTTCTGGTAAGCAGGTGGAGTGAATCTGCAGCCTGAAGCCTGCCGGGTAGAGGAGACAGGACCTGGGAGGCCAAATGCATCCGGGCTTGGCGGTGGTGACCCTGTCCCTGGGGCTCGCTGCCTGCAGAGGTCACACAAACCCCAAGGATTCCGCTCCCTTATGGCTTGGCTCCTCCTTCCCTAGTATCGCCTCCACCAGAGCAAGAGTGGTCACATCGGAGGCCAGTGGACCTTGCCCCTTTCCATTCCAGAAGCCCTAATGGGCTTACTTTATATACTGACAACGCTCTACTTGCAAGCAGCCCCATCTGTTTTCGTGCCCACACCCACGGTGCTAAAATTCTTCAAGGCAGTTGTTTGCAAGTGGGTCAAAGGGGCCCTGCAACCCTGGTTTCCCATTTACTTGCCTGGAAATTTCTTTTCTTACCTAATCGAAAGTCTGGTCCCAATTCGAGCCAAAAACTGAATTGTTTTACTTTGGAGTAGATTCATCATTTTCAGACATTAACCATTTTTATTACACAATTGCTGTCAATTGTGTAAATTAATTGCAGGAAAATTAGAGAATACAGATAAGTAAAAGTAACTTTTTTAAACCACCCATAATCTCCTTATTAATAAAATCACTATTCTAAATATTTTGGTGCAAAATTTGCCAGATTTTTTTGTATGCAAATGTATATTTGTATTTTTTTCTCACTTGCTCTACATTGAACATCTCTTCATTTCAAGAAATAAAGACCCACACCATTATTTTGATAGCTGTATGGTGTAGTGTCATAGAGATAGAGGAACCACACTTTGGTTAAATCCATCTCTCTTGCTGGATGCTGTTCCCAATAGCACAGAAATCTACATGTGTCAGATTATTTCTTTAAGATTAATTGCCAGGGGCACCTGGGTGGCTCAGTGGGTTGAGCATCTGCCTTTGGTTCAGATCTTGATCCAGGGGTCCTGGGATCAAGTCCCACATCGGGCTCCCTGCAGGGAGCCTGCTTCTCCCTCTGCCTGTGTCTCTGCCTCTCTGTGTGTTTCTCATGAATAAATAACTAAAATCTTAAAAAAAAAAAGTAAATAAAAAAGATTAATTGCCAAAGGTGAGGGGCGCCTGGGTGGCTCAGTCAGTTAGACATCTGCCTTCAGCTCAGACCCTGGGATCACGTCCCACACTGGGCTCCCTTCTCAGCCAGAGTCTGCTTCTCCCCTTGCCTCTCCTCTGGCTTGTGTTCTCTCTCGCTCTCTCAAATAAATAAATAAAATGTTTTTTAAAATGATAATTGCCAAAGGTGAAATGGCTGGGCCAAAACATGCAGCTATTTTTAGGGCTATCAATACATAATCGCAAACTACAGTCCAGAACAACCTGTACCAGAGAACCCTCACTCCCGGTGAGCATCACACGGCCTGGTCAGTCTGCTGGTGACTACCCGCCCCCCCCCCCGCCCCCCAAGTGCCACTGTGGCTTGTACTGTTGCATCATGTGCCTGGCACTGACAGAGTCAGACAAAATGTGGCCACACAGGAAGGGGCAGGAGGGGGCAACAGACAAGGAGTCAACATTTATGGGCCAGTGTGCTGAGACCACAGTACAGAGAATACACAGAACCCGGATGTCCTAGAGCAGGGAAGCAGGGACGAGCCAGGCAGAGGAAATGATCCAGGGGGAGGAAAGGTCCCAGGCTTGGGTGTTCAGTCTCTTTTCAGGGAACAACAAACAGTTGTGTAACGGATTAAAGCCATGCATGGGGTGGTGGGAACTGTGGGCCAGGGGTTATGAGGCAGAAGAGGTGGGTTAGGTCTGATCGGGAAGGGTTTTCTGGGCTAAGCAAAGAAGCTTTATCTTGATCCAGAAAACTGGGTAAAGATCATCAAACTGAATCTTCCTGGAAGGTAGGGGTGGGCACCAAAGTCTGTGCCTGGAAGACTCACACTGATCCAAGGGATGAGCACTGACAGCCACTCAAGAACGGCTGTCATCACCTCTGACGAGCTCTGTGAGCTTGGGAACAGCCATTTACCCTCTGTGTCTAGTGAAATAAAGGGGCCAGTTTGGGTCCCTCGCAGTTCTAAGCTTCTGTGCTCCTATGAACACTGGCATATCCTTTGACTTTTTCCCCCCCAGAAAAGGTGGCCATTAAGATCCTGGACAAGACCAAGTTAGACCAGAAAACCCAAAGGCTACTATCCCGCGAAATTTCCAGCATGGAAAAATTGCACCATCCCAACATCATCCGTCTGTACGAAGTCGTGGAGACCCTGTCCAAGCTCCACTTGGTGATGGAGTATGCAGGGGGCGGGGAGCTCTTCGGGAAAATTAGCACCGAAGGGAAGCTCTCAGAACCAGAAAGCAAGCTCATCTTCTCCCAGATTGTGTCTGCCGTGAAGCACATGGTGAGTGGGGGTGAGGAATAGAGTTTTGCTCCCACATCACCCACGGTGGGAGCATGGGCTCTGGTTCACCCCTGTCCGAGCATCCCAGAGACCTTTCGTCCTGCAGGGGCTGACGGGAGTCCCTTCTGGGAGAATCCGGAGTCTGAATTTGATCACACTCATAGCCTCTAAAGCAGTGCCCAGGGGTCTCCAGTGACATAGCGGCCCCCTGGCTTCTGGGGAAGTTGGCAGAGCTGCTCCCATAGCAGGAGCACCCTCACCAGTCCCCGGCTCTGGCCTTTCTCCGCACCCATCCTCCACAGCAGGAGAGCTGGCTCCTCGCAGCTTCTCGGCCCTGGCTACCTACCTGTGTGTGTAGGAAGCTCTCTCCCCTCTTACTATGTCTCATTCCAAATCCTTTCCACCCTTCACGACTCCACTCAGTCCTGTCTGTCTCTGGAACTTTCTTCAATCTCACATCAGCTCACACAGATCTTTCTCGCCATCGGTAGATCCCCCCCAGCTCTAGTTGCCTCGGCGCTCAGCAGATTAACACTTGCTTATGTCATTCTTACTTTAGTTCTCTGATTATTTCATTATGTAAATCTGGACTCCTAAAGCACCCCCCACCCCAGTTCCTTCAAGAACTGGTTTTCCTGTGCCTTCTCCACCATTGGCCATATTGCCACGAACACAGAGGGGCTGGACACATGGGCCTGGCCACCACCCTTATGGCTCCGCTAGTCTACAAGTCTGGGCTGTCCTCTTTACCCAGTACAGTCTCAGTCCAGTTGGCAGAAAAGAGGCACTTGCCTGGGGGTCTTTATGAGCTGAGAGGCTGTTTCTGGTTCATTCTCTGACTGAATGCTGTGGGGGCAAGGCTGGGGTCAGTGGCTTCCCAGACAAATTACTAGCAGGGAAGTTAGTGACCTGGGGACCCAAGACAGGCATCAGGAGAGAGAAGGGGAGGGGGAGAAAGTGAGCAAGAGAGAAGAGCGCAACTGTAACGGCAGTGGGGCAGTGGGTGTTTCGGACGTGTGGTGCCAAGCATTGCCATTTAAGTGGCCCTATGCTGCCGCGAACTTTCCCAGGGCCAGGGAGTAAGCGACACTCACACTGAGCAAAGAGATGGGAAGAGTCTTCCTCACCCTCTGTAGGAAAAAAATCGGGTGGGAGAGCAGAAGAGAACCCAGGCTGAGTCCTCCGCTGCCCTCTGCCCCTGCCATTCCTCCCGGCTCTCTGGTCTCTGAGAAGAGGGCTGGTGAATCACGGATGTAGGCCCGGATTCCCGAGCGTGCTTACTGTGCGCAGGGCCTTGCTGGGCCCTGCAGATACAGCATCGAACACCGTTCTCACGGCAGTCTCGTGAGATGGCTCTCGATCTCTCATTTTACCAAGAAAGAAAACACATTGCACAACTGGTATCGTTGAACCTAAAATTAACCAAGCCGTCAGCCCCCCAAGCCTGGATTCTTACCCCAAGAAGCCCAGCGAAGTAACATTAAACCATCTCTTGGGACTAAGGAGGTTAGGGGTCCCAAGATGGTCTGTCTGGATCCATCCTGATCGTGAGAGTGGGGATGGGACATGCTCTAGAACCTTACCAAATATAGCCTCCTAACTTCTACTGAATTCTGCAAAGATAAAGGGCACCCCCCCAACACACACACACACACACACACACCCAAAGGAGCATGGTTGAAAAGTTGGGGGAGGCCTCTAAACCTTCTTGGGGATGGTCCTTGCCAAGAGATTGCTCAGCCAGAAAAACCCATATATGGCCTCAAACATGAAGGTTACTGTTTGAGAACATTCAGTTTCGAAAGATCCAAGTCTCATGTGGGTGGGACAAACTCCAGCTGTTGCCCCACAGAAGAACAGAACCTTTGGTCTCTTTGGGGGGGTGTGGCTGTTATATGTGTGCTAAGGGTTTGAGGACAGGGCAGCTCTGGAGGCCTGCGGATGTGACTTAGGTTGACATCCATTGAACTCCTGCTACTACCCCATCATCACCTCCCTGTTTCAGAGCAACCCACGCATTTGTCTTTCCGTTAGTGTCATACCTTCAAAGTGATGACTTTTCCCTACGTCTCCTCCCGCAGCACGAGAACCAAATTATTCACAGAGACCTGAAGGCAGAAAACGTATTTTATACCAGTAATACTTGCGTGAAGGTGGGTGATTTTGGATTCAGCACAGTAAGCAAAAAAGGCGAAATGCTCAACACTTTCTGTGGGTCGCCTCCCTACGCTGCGCCAGAGCTTTTCCGAGACGAGCATTACGTCGGCGTTTACGTGGACATCTGGGCCTTGGGGGTGCTTCTGTACTTCATGGTGACTGGCACCATGCCCTTTCGGGCGGAGACCGTGGCCAAGCTGAAGAGGAGCATCCTGGAGGGCACGTTCAGCGTGCCTCCGCACGTGTCAGGGCCCTGCCTCCGCCTCATCCGGGGCGTCCTCCAGCCGGTACCCACCGACCGGCACGGCATCGACTCCATCATGAGCAACGAGTGGATGCAAGGGGTGCCGTACCCCACCCCTTTGGAGCCTTTCCAGCTGGATCCCAAACATTTGTCCGAAACCAGCACCCTCAAAGACGAAGAAAATGAGGTCAAGAGCACTTTGGAACACTTGGGTATCACAGAAGCGCACATCCGGAACAACCAGGCCAGAGATGCCCGGAGCTCCATCACAGGAGTCTATCGGATCATTTTACATCGAGTCCAAAGGAGAAAGGCTTTGGAAAGTGTCCCGATAATGATACTCCCGGACCCTAAGGAAAGGGACCTAAAGAAAGGGTCCCGGGTCTACAGAGGCCTAAGACAGACGTCTAAATTCTGTTCAATTTTATAAATTGCATTAAACTGCTGGTAATTCACCAAGAGCATTGTTGCTGCTTTTAATTTTTTTTTTCATGGACAACTTGGGTTGAGACACTTTTGTAATTTTTAAATAAATTATAAACTGAAGATATGCATTCCCCCCCCAAAAAAAATTTTGTCTGGATTTGCTGTCTTATTCACCAACTCTAGCGTTCATTCATTTATTTAGTCAAGGACTATTTATCCAGCACCTGCCGTGGGCCAGGAAGTGTTCAAGGTGCCAAGGAAAGAGCGAAGCGTGAGAGAGGCCGGACCCTTGCGCTCCTGTGCAGGGGATTCTAGGGCTGGACAAAGGCACTGGTGAAAAAAAACGTTTTTTAAGGAAAACCATCAGATAGTGAGGGATGCTCTACGGAGCATGCAAATCGGGGATGTGAGAGTAGAGGCTTGCTCCTTTGTGTGGAACCAGTAGGGAAGGTCCCTCTGAGTAGATGACGATCCGTGACCCTGGGGAGCCGGCCAGAGGCACAGCAGGCAGCGAGGGGTTCAAGGCGGCTTCCTCCCCGCGCAGGGCACAGGCTCCAGGCCGAGGAGTTTCTCTGGGGAATGATCCTGGGGAGGAGTGAGGCTCCGGGCAGAGAAGCAGGGTGCTGGGCCCTCGGCCTCGCGTGGTGCCTGAGGAGCCCCGTGAGCGCGTCAGGTGCTTGCCCGGGTGCAAAAGGGGAAGCCAAGGGGAAGCTGGCCAAGAGCGCCCGGCCCGGGGCCACCCGCCTGCGGTGCCCTGCGCTGCGCTGAGTACGACCCGGCCACCCCGGCACCGGCGCTGGTTGGGAAGGAGGGGTGCAGACTATGCGGCGGGAGGGGCAGGGGCGCCCCTGATGCTCCCCAGCCTCCCTGGGGGGAAGGGCACCCAGCCCTGGCACTGGGCTGCAGGACAAGGTGCAGACCCGCACCCCACGGTCACGGCCTCGGGGGCTGGAGGAGCGTGTGGCCCAAGGGATCCGAGGGGACACAGAGGGGCTGTGGGACACGCTCCACCCCAGGCTCCCCGCAGCTCAGCCCCCCCCCCATTACATGCAAACTGCTGGGGCCCCTGGGAAGGACCTCACGGGGTCGGATGGGTCGGCAGGTTACAGTGTGGCCCCCATTCCGGCGCATCAGGATCCCCTGGAAGGCTTGTTCAGGCTGCCCGGAGGACCGCCGCCGCCCCCAGGCTTCTGATTCAGCACCTCTGGAGTGGGGCCCCAAGAATTCGCCAAGAGTTCCTGGGCCGTGCTGCCGCTGCGACTGCCACAGAGGGACCCAGAGCCACAGGCCGCCGCAGCTGGTGGGGCTCAGCATCTCAGCTGGGCCGGAGCGAAGTAGCATCCTGATCAGCAAACATTGGAGGCCCTGGGGCTGGCTCAGTTGGTGGAGCAAGGGACTCTTGATCCCGGGGTTGTGAGTTCGAGCCCCACGTTTGGTGTAAAGATTACTTAAAAAAAAAAAAAGGTAAAACAACCTTAGGTGCACCTTGGTGGCTCAGTCTGTTAAGTGTCCACCTTGGGCTCGAGTCATGATCCCAGGGTCCCGGGATTGAGCCCCACATGGACTCCCTGCTCAGTGGGGAGCCTGCTTCTCTCTCTGCCTGCCCCTCCCTGCTTGTGCTCTCTGTCAAATAAATTAATTTTTTTAAAACACACCTTAAAAAGCAAAAGATTTGAGCCCTTATTTGTCTTGCTACAATCTCTGTTCACTGGTATCATGAGACCCCAAAATTACACTCCAGTGAATCTCTTGGGTTCCAGACCTACTCCTCTATCTCCTCATGATAATCACGCCCAACAGTCTCCACAGGTATAACAGCTCCTTTCTTTGCCTGATTGGCCACTGGCACAGGGACCTCAGAGTGACCGTGTGATAGTCACGGATTCCAGTTCACTGGACCCTTACTGGAGCCCCTGCTGGAAGTTTCCCCCTGCCCTCTGGAAACCCAGACCTCCAATCTACTGACCCTGGGCCTAGGAAAGAGAGGTACTAATTCTTCAAGTGGGTCCCTGACTGTGCTGACGAGAAAAGGTTATTTGCTTTCTACCTGTTGGCACCCAGGCCTACGTTGTGTGTGTGTGTTTTTTTTAAGATTTTATTTTTAAGTAATCTCTCTGCCCAATGTGGGGCTTGAACTTGGGACCCTGAGATCAAGATCGCAGGCTCCACCAACTGAGCCAGCTGGGCGCCCCCAGACCTGTGTATTTTAATAACAGGGGACAACATCCATCAGCCTTGGAAGACTGTCAGGACACGACCTCAGGCCTACAGCTAGGGTCCTGTAGCGCCGGTGCCTTAGCTGACCCACTCCGCTGTCCTGCTCATGCTGCCTGCATCTCGTGTCGAGGCGTATAGTAAGATGAGTAGATGCCATGGTCAGGGGCCCATCGCCTTTTCCAAAAAAGTCTCCGAGGCAGTGTTATGAGAGATACCCCGAAAAGAGATGAGCTGCTCTCCGTGTCCTAGCACGATGGTGTTCAAGGATACGTTGCAGTCAGGACAAGCAGACCCATGTCCCGAGTAGGTGGCCATCCAGTAAGGTGAGTCGCTGTGGTGCCCATCTGAAGTTAAACCCCGTGGATCTGATGATGCCCAGCTCACCAGGAGACAGCTCCAGGGGCTTCGTCTCCTACTGCCCCATGATCAGGTGCTGCAGCTCGCAAGGGCCCGGCGCACACCAGCACCTGGAGGAGTCCCTTGTGGAGAGCATGGCCCCTCCAGGCCCCTCCAGGCCCCTCCAGGCTCGGCTGTGACCTTGTCCCGGGACGGCCAGAGATGCCACACGGTGTTCCTCTCTGCCGTGTTTACGGCCACGGTGCCAGTGCCGTTTGCACCAAAGCCTGAACTGGATCTTTCGGTGTGTTTGTGGGATCCACTTGAGCCTGGCAGCCATGACCACTGGGTGCAAGAATGTGCTAAGCACCATGTATGTACCTCCAGGACCCAGACAGACCTAAGCCCTGGGCCTGACTTCGCACCAATGGATCTGAGACCCAACGATCTATCCTTTGCCGCGGAAGGAATGTGTAGCCATGCCCCCAGGCCACTGGCCCTCTAATCCTTCATCCGTGTGGCAGGCCCCCGATTCTTCCTGGAGTCTGTCACCCACACTCCGGCACACATGGGTCTTGCGAGGCCATGTGAGTTCTTGCCACTCTGATGCTACACCCCCCTGGCACACTGTCGCAGCTCTAGGCTAGACGTCCTGCAGGCTGGCAAGGTAATCAGGTCCTGCAGACCCCGTGGTGACCCAGAGTGCGAGACTTGCAATTGCCCGGAGCAGATGAGAATAGGTGCCCATCCCGGAGGAACCTGAACTGTTCTGATTCTCCTTTTGATGGAAATTGAGAAGAATGCATTTTCCAAAGTAATAGCTTATCAATGCCAGAGGCTTCCGGTAAAGACCCCACACCCAGCGTGGCAGCTACAACAGACAAACAACTACCCTCCTCTATTATCCATCTGCTCTCTGTAGCAGCCTGACGGAGAAGTTAAAGGAGGTGGTCATGGGGCCCTTTACCCTTGTGTCCTTAGAAATTTTTGATGATGAGACTGACTTTGAATGCTAATACTGATGGCTGCATTTCCTCATGTGACTGCTCATGATTTACTAACATGATCGCGGAGAAAGTACAGTTCCAGAGGTTTCCATGTGGCTCTTCCCCCACAGGTCAGTGGTCTAAACATAGTTATCCCAAATATATACTTGAAGATGGGGGAAAGAGCCCCAAGGTGGGACCCACTGTGAGGCAGACGTTGGCCTGAACTCCCCCCGTCACCCAGTTTCCAAAGACCCCCATCCACACATGGGCCGTAATAGTGTTTAGGATTCCCTGGTATCATTTCAGTTTAGACTTTTTAATCCAACAGTCCTTAAAACTTCTGGGTGTGTAGTTGAAATACTTGTGCCAGCAGGGCTTTTCCTCAAGAAGACCTGGCCTCCCAGTCACTGGGCACTGGGTCTATAAATTAACCTGCATCTGGGACCATGATTTTCTCGTCATGACAGGCTACAGCAGTCTCTGCTCACCAGCTCTCCTCTTTTCATTCTTTTGCTGTTATAAAAGGAACACACCAGCCAGCTGTCACTCAGGACTCTGTGATCTATTAGCCATTGTCACAAAGTCCTGCAGATCAAGACACCTTGATTTCCACTTCAGCCTGACTGTCCATTAGATCATGTCCATTGCCTCTAACATTTAAATAATAATGCATGGCCTCTGCCGTTCTAGAATCTCATCATCTCTGCTGATAGTAGCATGCCCAGTTCCATGGCAGCATTTCCCACTGTCAAGGCCTACCAGCAGTGGCAGCCATCACTGACCTTTTCAGAGGTGCTGGGACACCCCTCCCCAGAACATTCCTTGTTGCCTCCTGGGGACTGTAGGTAGGGGGTTCTTCAGTTGATGTTTCCCTTAACACTGCCATCTGTGACTCATTTACTGTGGGCCATACTCCCCTCCAGCCTCTCTAGCCAACCCAACTGCACATTAGGACCAGCTCTGGGTGTTCTATTGAACCAAGTCATGGGTAAATGCTCCCGTGATGATAAACTCTCTCCTTCCAGCATAACGGTCTCCCTTGGACCTCCACCCTGGGCCCCACACCCTCGAGATCCACTTGAACACATTTTGCCCCGGTTCCTGATAGTACCCATTAGCCTGATTCTGCAGTTCCTTCCAGGAGACCAGGCTGTTTCCTCCCACACACACAGAGGCTGCGCTGGCTGAAGCCATGTCGAGACCTGACCTGGCTCTGGCTTAGCCTTTGGGGGAGGATCTCAGGGAGGTCATGCACCATCTCACAGACGTCTGCCTCCCTGAGGTCTTGGCCGGGTCTTCAGGCAAGGAGGGACAAGCTGCTCCTGCCAGCCCTATGTGAGGGGAACCTTGTTTTCAACACTTGCAGGTGCATCTACACTGTTGTTACCCACTGAGGTCCCAGGGTCCCACTTTCTTCCTACCAAGGCTCGACTTTGATAAAGAATTGTCGGGATGGTATTTTATCTCGTCTGCAGCTCAGCCCATGTTACAGT